AGAGCTTCTACCAGCTTATGTCCGTGCTCCAGTGGTGGTTCTTCAACGTGGTGGTCGTGATCAGCAACAAGTACATCTTCCAGGTGCGTATACCGTCTGCTTATGGTGTCATTCGCTTCCTTCTTGGCTTGGAAATTGTAGTCAAGAACAATACTCTAGTAAATTTGCACCAGCTCTTGAGCTTGCGTCACTGGTGGTTCTCTGGCTCGGCGGTTGTCAAGAGCAACAGTTTCATCTTTCCAGCACGTACTCCGTTTGCCGATGTGTAGCAATGTTCACGTTTGAGGGAGATCATCTTTCTGAAAATCTGCTATTTACTAGGTCTTAAACGTTCTGCCAATGTAATGAGCAGATCAGCGCATAGGCGTTGTTCAGGTGCGTAGAGCGCAATCAGGCCTACCGATTGAATAGATAATGCTTTCATAAGTCTGAAAAGTCCTTCTCGAGGGCTGTTCGAGGAAAGTCTACCCTATTTTAGCTCTGGTGCATTGCTTGGGTACTGAGACTTCATTCCGCTTCTCCGCAGATCTTCGGCTTCAAGTTCCCGCTTACGTTAATCACGATCCACTTCATCATGTCGGCCCTCGGGGCGTACCTAACCATTAAGGTAGGCGTTTGCTAACCATCGGTCAAGGCGAAGGTCAGGATTCGCTCATTTGGCTCTGCGAACAAATTCGTGAAAAGAGTGTCGTCTATATCCCGGTTAAGATCGACCATGGTCCTTCAAGTGCGAGGTCTTGTGGGGTCGAGCTATGGCTTGCATATCGGATGCGTAAGAATTCAGGGGCTCTTTGGTTCAACGCAACATTACTGCGTTAGCAGTAAGTTTTGCGCCCCTTTTAAAATTTCCCTTTCAGGCAAGGATATAACGCTGTAGGCCTGCTTCATCCATCCGCCGCCTACATCAAGTCAAGCTAATGACTGGTGTTCTAACATCGGAAGCGGCCAGACTTGTGAAGGCATCTATGATCTTGGTCGTTCTCAACGATTTTGGTATTGAATTGTTCGTAGGCTGTAGCAACCTTTGTTCAGGCTTTGCAAGCTGGGTTCTGATCGCCGCGTTGACTCAGACCAGACCCGAATGCCCATCTGCCAAAACCCCCAAGCCCTTTGCAACGAATCAGAGACAACTGAACCCGAGAACCTCATATGCGCACACAGCTTTTAAAGCTAGATTCCAACGGTCGCACCCCAACGCTCGAAGTCGGTCCTTTTTACATGGCCAAGAAGAAAGCGCAATTTTGCTGCTCCCTTGCGCGCAGCTTCTCAAACTGAAGCTGGCGTTTCTGTTCCAGCCCACGGGCAACAAGGAGAATGCGAGTCACCGCTTTCGTCGAATCCAGGCACTTCTAGCACGCGCCTCGCAAATCCTACCCCGAATAAGTCGGAGGACTCTCAGCTTGTGTGTCTCGTATTTCTGCGCAGGTGTTCAAGCTGAAGCCGGAGATCGTGGTCCAGTCGACGCACGACAAGGTGGTGCGCATCATGCCCGTCGCGGCGCTGACGTGTCTCAACATCGTGCTCGGGAACGTGTTGCTGCGTTTCGTCCCGGTCTCCTTCATGCAGACCATCAAGTGCTTCACGCCGGCGACGACACGTGAGTCCCGCAATCGCTTTTTGACAGTTTCAAATTATTCCCTTCGCCAAGAAGGGTTCAAATTATTTCAGGCATTGCCGTCTCCAGAATCTTGGTCCGAAAGATGTCGCTGCCATTCTTTCCGGTCTCCTATATGCCATCAAGTGCTTCACGCCGTCGACGACACGTAAGTAGCAGGATTCATTCTTCGTCGTCGAATGAAGTGATATGTGAGAGTTCTGCAGTGTTTTTTGCGGTGATTCATTTGCATGTTCGTGAATGTGTTGCTGCGCAACGAATTGTTTCTCCGGTCTGTTTCCTCGTGGTGTGATCCTCGCGGCTGATGTAGGGCCGCAAGTTAGACGGCCTCACCTACCGGGCTTCCTTTGTATTGCGTCTCCCGGTTAACCCATCTGCTTAACCATGGCACTGACCCGTCAGACTTCGTCATTCTGCAATCGTCTCTAGCGCGCCTGGTTTGGGGCCGCGAGTTCGACAACCTCACTACTGGGCGACCTCTTCGATCGTGTCTGCCTTCAAACCCCCTAGTTTACATTAGACGCATCTTTGTACGTCCGCTTCATAAAACCCTACCCGCGGTAATCCTTCAGCGCTGGATACAGGGCCGTGATTCGACTGCCGCTGCTCTTCCAATCGTGTCTGCCTTTGAACTAAATGTTAACATTGTTAGTGTGTTGTAACTATGATGCTTAACAGCACAAGATGCCTTCCTGCAGTGATCCTTCAGCGCGCGGTGTGGGGCCGCAAGTTCGACAGCCTGGTTTACTTGGCACTCATTCCAATCGTGTTCGGCGTCGTGCTGACGACTGTCGCGGAGCTGAGCTTCAACTGGACAGGCTTCCTCACCGTTCTGGCCGCATGCCTCACGACATCGACGTCCAACATCATGGCGGAAGCGCTGCTCCAAGTAAGCAAAAGCACGTGATTTTCTTTGTGCCTAATGAATGCCTTTGGTTCGTAGCTTCCTCTTAATAAGCGTCAGCGGAGTTCCAAACGGACTGGAACCATTGCCGCAATGGCCATATGACTTACGACGTCGACTTCCAACATCATGGCAGAAGCGCTGCTCTAGGGAAGCACTTCTTTCGTGGATTCTCTCTACTTTCTGTCTATCGCCTTCGTTGCGGTATTCCGTTAGCAGAAGCTTCAGCGGGTTTCGGCGCGGACTGGCTTCCTCGCCGCCTGAGCCGGCAAATTTCGATGTCAGCTTCAGTTTCGCAGGGCAAGAACGCTTTCGAGTCCTTCAGCACGATCGGCCACATGACCCCTTACTCGACCACATTCTCATCCCCGTTTTCTTGGGCCGCAACACCAGAACCTCGTTGCTCCTATACCGCAATTGCTGACGTCAGCTTCTGGACCGCAACATCCTGACGTCAGCTTCCCATCTGCAAGGCAAATGGGCGTTCGACTCCATCGAGCCCGGTGTGCTGATTGGCCCCCTACTCGACCGCGCTCTTCGATAATATTTCCCTTGGGTTTCCTTCTGGAAAATCAGAACCCAAGTTTCTATGCAACCCAAAGTGCTGACGTTAGCTTCTTTTTCATAAACCCCACAGTGCTGACGTCAGCTTCGGTTCTGTAGGGCAAGTACGCTTTCGACAGCATCAACACGGTGTACTACATGGCCCCCTACTCGACCGCGCTGCTCATCCTCCCTGCGCTCTTCTACGAGGGAGCTGACGTCAGCGCCTGGGCGGCGGAGCAGGACAACATCGCACTGCCGCTGACGGTGATCCTGGTCGGGGGATCCCTTGCGTTCTGCCTCAACTTCTCGCTCTTCTACGTCATCCAGGCCACGTCAGCGGTGACGTTCAACGTGGCGGGGAATCTCAAAGTGGCGCTCGCGATCATCATTTCGTGGATGATCTTCCGGAACCCGATGGGTTGGTTGAGTTGGGTGGGGTGTTTGGTGACGATTGTGGGCTGCACGTTCTACGGTTGGGTGCAGCAAAAGATCAAAGCCCAGAAGGCGCCGGCGGTCGCGGTCAGTGAGATGCAAGACAAGCAGCCGTTGATGGGCAGCAGTAAGTAAGATGGAATGCAATGAATATGGTTTCAGCCATTTACAGCAAAAGTGGTAATCAGCTGGGTCATCATGGGCCTGCGCGGCCGGTATGGCGCACATAGCTAAGCTAGATATACTGGCACGTAATGTGGATTGAGTCCGCGATTCCAGGTTTGATCAAGTTTGATCTTCGTCCTCGAAGAAGATTAGCCTGTTACTCAGACCTACAGATCGGACACCGAGACGAGCGTCCGGTCCTTGGCGAAGCACATCCGCATGATATACGGCCACCCGCCGCACTGTCTTATAATACTGCGTTCTTACTCTCGAACCTACACTGCGGCACACCTACTCTGTATCATCAATTCATATCCGATCAAGTATGTGGCCGGCCTTATCTGGCCCGCAAAATATGTCAACTCATACAACCGCGGTGGGGATTAGTTGAAAGAGTGAAGTCCAATAATGGGGCGATCAGCTAGTGCCACGAGCTAGACGTCAGTGTAAAGCCTCATCACTTGCATGCTCAAATTGAGTGTTTGCCTGCAGCCGTTGTGCTAAAAATGGCAAATTTCATGGGCTATTTGGCGGCGGCAGCCAGGTCCAACAATATGGTATGCTACTGAGCTAAAAGCATCCGATCATTGATTAGACACTTGAGCTTGGCCGCCGAAGTTATCGTACCCGGCGCATGGTAGCCACTGACCAGACTCTGTACCGTGGCCGTTTGCATGGTAAAGTCAATTCACCTCGCGGATGCCCTTTCATGTTTCTAGTTAGCTTTACTAGCATACTATAGGGCAGGGCGTACTAATCGCGTGCCAGGGCCGCGCTTCAGCTATAGTGGGCTCGAGATCATGCATTGAAACCCTGGGCCGCGCGTGCATCGGTACAAGGGCGGCTGCTGCTCAGCGCCGGCGGCTTGCTAACTTTGCCACGACGGTCGACGGAACTCAATGCACACAGACATATGCAAAGAAGAGAGCCATGAGCGCTATCATATATGCGCAATAGTCTACAGCGCATGCCTTTCTTGGGTCAATGAATACCGCTCGCTCTGCCACCCTAGCGGCCTCACACCAACGCAGTCCTGTAAGCCTGACCGTTGAACTCAGTTGATGAAACCTTCGCCTTTCAATTCGTTGACTCTCCACTATACCTAGCACAACTAGGGCAGGCTTCAGATCATGACCACGGCCACTGAATATTACAACTTCGCAATCTGGCCTTTTGTTGCAATAGCCTCCTCCTTTTACTTGAAAGCCTGAATCACATAGGCGCCGGACCGCTTGTCGTCAAATGAATAAGAAACTAGTCAATCTGATCAGGCCATGACTCAACGCAAAGCAACATTTCGAATCTTGTCCACTACACTAGAACAATCCGAGTGGGTTATCACGTCACACCTGTTCTATTAAAAAGTTCCATGTACTCGTGAAATAGTGCAAGAGAATAGAATTCCCACATACCCCTTCCAAGATATAGATGACTTTGCCTAGCAGCGGCCTCCAACATTGCTAGGGTCTTTTCTTCGTGTTCCAACGCATACTGTACCTTCTCTACCAGGTCCGAAAAGTCCGATTTTACCTCGTACAAGTGCTCACCATCACGAAAATACTTCGTGAAATACTCAGAGTGTGGTGTTTGGACCTGCACCCAAACAGCGAGACTTGATGTGGATAGTAGTAAGTACCTAAACATTGAACTCCTATCTAGGTTTCTTCACCCTGATCTTGAGCGTCGACCACTAGCGCAGAAACAAGTTTCATCTTAGCCGTACGTTTCAAACGCAAAAAATGGTTTGTCTACTGAAAGGTCACCGGAAGGATACAAAAAGGCCACCAAATCTTCGGCTGAACACGAGCCGTGCTCGGCGAGTGGTAAAGGGTTTTGAAAGAGGAGTTGCACACATCTTCGGCTTAATCGTGCTAGCCTAATTCAAGTGCACCAGGCATCAAAATGCTGAAAACAGGCGGGTCACAACATCAAAAGCATAGCATCACGAAAAGCGGCCACATCTATCAACTAGGCTCAAAATCGTGATACAGCCGCTCGTTTCCCGCTAGCTAGTTGCTGAATTCCATCTCAGATTTCAACCACTTGTTGGCGCTCGAAGGCAGATGGATTAAATCTACACATAGCGTGGAATGTGGATCAATTCTTCAGCTTTCGAAAAGGAGCGCCTTTGGCGTTATCACGTGCTCAAGCCAACGATAAAGTGGGGATGAAGTCTCGTGTACAATCACCTTGAAGATCAGGAAATTTTCCTTAGTCATCCAGCGGAGGCGGTTGCTGAAGGCGTTTCCATCGATATCCAGAATCATGCGGTAAGTCCGCAACTCCTCCCTCGACATGTGGACGTCTGTGGTGGGTATGAATTTCGCCATTTCGTCGTAGACATTCTCCTCGGGACATCCGGTGCATGCCTTGACGAGCTTCACGTCGAACTGCGTCGAAGAGAGAACAGTTTACGAGGCTTAGAAGCCGTGCCGCACCGCTTGAACGAAGCATACCGTTTTCCACGTAGGAAGCTTGGAGGGGCATCTGATCAGCACGTCAAATGCCCTCAATTACATCTGCACTTTGGATCGAAGATCGTGTAGCCCTTTATTGACACGAACAAGTGCCCTTCCAGCTGAACGCATACACTACAACGGAAGTTCGAAAAGACAACACGCAAGCTCCTTCAAACAGAGACGCCGTTGCATCGATCTACGATCCGGAAGGTTGAACGCAATATCAGGCGTTGAACCAGACGTGTGGTGACTTGATAGGTTGCAAAAGAGGTTGTTCACGTTCTTCAATCAGCTGGAAAACCGGAGAGTGAGATTAGAAGTCAAGGTCAACAACTGTTCATTGAAGCCCCGCACAAACAGTTGTACAATCAACTTTCTTTTGCCTCTCGCTGTCGGAAGGAACTTATCTGACTTATCGTCCTCTATTGCAGAGCTTAAAAAACCGTTTGTTGACCCAGATTGGAAGCCAAACTTGCCAGGTCCTACTATATCATGCACAGGAACAACGATGCAGATACAACTGTGAAAAGAGGAATAAACTTTCAGTTTACTGATACTTTTGTGCAGGGATTGCAGCCACTAACTCTCAGCCCGAGAAACAATCAAGCGAGTCGACTCACATACTCGGGGTAATTGCTCGTGAAGTTGGCAAGCTTGACACGAGGAAAGTCCCGCCACGTTTCCAGCGTCGGATAGCCTCCGGTACACGTCCCTCTCCAAACAACCATGTTCTTGCGTTCCCTCCAAGGATGCCGCGCCCTCGCGGCCTTTGAACCAGTGAGATCAAATTGGTCACGGCAGAACCCAGGCAACCCAACATCTATTCTGTCAACATGCGTGTTTGACGCGAAGATTGGGGCCTCAGGATCAGTGATACTCATAACCGGGTTGTCTGCGTAGTGGATCACAAAGTCCAAATGCTCGGGGAGGCCGTGCCGCTCGTTGAGGTACATGAGTTGATCTACCCAGACTTGTTCAAACGGGTGGCCCGCACTACTGAGAATCACGAGCGTGCCGTTTTGGACGGCAAAGCGAGTGCAGGCCGCGTGCGTCAACCGCTGCCGACACGTGACCAAAGCGTCCTCAACCTGGCAAAAAAAAGTCATCTTGAGGATATCGAATATAAAGACAACCGTTCGAGTTCTTCTGAGGCACTGATTCTCGCTGCGCAGTATATGATTTAGATGCACTTCACAAGGTAGCACCTTCCGTCAACCAGTCCAAGAAAGAACTATCCATGCGATCAACAGATCAGAAGTCAGCTGACAAAAGCGGGAATGTCTGATCAGATTAGCTGCACTGCAGAGTTTGAGACATCGCCTGGTTAAGCTTGCGGATCACAGTGATCTGAGCAAGTCCATTTTGACCATCACTGTTTTGAGTGGTCGCAACCCGGTCGCAATTGACAAATGCAACCACTCCATCACAAGGACTTGATTTGCCCACCTGTTGCGTGCTGAAACCCCCACGCTTGCGCCACACTCCCAGTGCCTCTCTGGCGTCTCGGGCCAGGTTCCTGCTAGCTTCATCAAAGCCCGCCCATGCTACACTCTGCTTGCACGGTGCGCTAGAATTACAAGGGAGAATGAACTTGGCCGGGTCACCAAAAGCAACGGAAAGCAGCTCCTGTGAGCTACTGAGGGCGCCAAATTTGCCAAATAGCGCAAGAAGGACCATCACAGCTCCCAACAACAGCAGGAGACTCTGATGACATCCCAGAGGATCACAAAAGGTTGATGCCCTTTTGTTCATCGACCACCACCGTGGACGTGCGACTGCCATTGTTGAGCTTCTGCAACGCGAATCTTGGACTTCAGCCTGTGACCTTCCTCTGCGAAATCATCAATTGCAGGTAAAGTAGCGCCTTTGTTCTGGTCGGTCATATGACAGTCCCGGCCACTTTTGACCTCACAAGCTTTCATTTACCAAGATGCTATAGGGAGAGATGAATATTAAGTGCCAAAAGGAGCAGCCATCTTCTTCAGAGTCCCCGCTTTCTATGGAGATTGACAAAGACGAAGACTCCAGATTGCACTGCCAACATTTGCGAGCCCCTTCTTGAAGTGAGCTGAAGCTCTTCTTTTGCTCAGAAGAAGCATTCCAATGGGGCTTAATCATGAAAGCCGTGCTCAGCACAGTGTCCTCACCGTTTAGTCAACGGAACCTGACGCTGTTCTTTCCGACAAAGACGCCCTTTGCAAGAAGTTGCAGGCGGAGCTGATAAAAGCACTGGCAGCAGTGCCAGCCTATGAAAACGTCAAGTGCGCTGACACTCACACACAACAGTTGCACGAGCCCCTTTTGCTGGAGGTGTACCAGGAAGTGTACTTGAACTTTTGGCACTTCAACTCTTTTGTTATTGTGTCGGTCATCGTAGAGGACTCGTACCGGCTAAACTGCGTACCTCACTAACCGTGTACCGATCAGATCCGGATCCAAGTCAGATGTACTGACGCCGCAGTGACGGCTTCTCTTTCGCTACTTCAGCCGGCATATTCCTCTGCCTAGAAATTGGGTGTCGACTCTCAATGGTTTCAGGCTTTCGGCCAATTTTACAGCACAAAGGTGCATGCCGTACCTAGGTGCATGCCGTACCTAGGTACCGTACCGATTGTCCGGTTGGGCAAATATTGATTATTTTTGGATTTGCCCACAATTTTGAATGTAGAATAAATTCGAATTTTGATTCTGCAGGTCATTTTGCCCCGTACGAAAACAGAATAAATTGGTAAATGGAAGCTGCCCAAATTGCGTGGCATACGAAATTAATTATTGGGCAAAAATCTGCCCAACCGGACAATCGGTACGGTACATGCCGTGTGCACAGTGTGGCATACCTACCTAGTATACGGTCTACCATACTTTAGTAGCTAGGTACTGCAGTGATTGCGCGCTACATGGGATGTCGCGCACTCTGCTAACCACGGTACAAAGTACGGTGGCTACAAGTGTTCAGTACCTATTAAAATAATGTTGCAAGCAATCTTGCAAGAACTGGCAATGCAGCGAATTGGCATTTCAACTGTTGCATGTCATGAGGGTGCAACTCGAAGACGCCGACGTACTAATTGAACTAGCTTTACTAGTGACCATCTCTGCAGGCCGGTGCAGCAATCAGCCTCAACCACTGTACGTGCACAGTGCCACAGATGCAAAAACCCTCTAGTAGATCCGCCCGGCCTCCTGCCGGCCTTACCCATGGCTTGAAGTCCGTACGTAATTTTCACTAGTCATGTACTTGCATTGTAGAGTATTGGTCAGCTGTCACCATGTATTCGACCGTCCCCTTCGCGCAAAACAACACCATATTAACAGGCGCTAAGGCTACCAAACTTGCAAAGTCTGGGGACGCTTGCACGCCAGGAATCAGTCACGATTGCTTATGTTCAACACAATTGAAAAGCTGATTTAAGGCATCTCTAACTCTCATCGACTCTAAGTTCAATTCAGGTCCGGTCTCATGGGGATTGGAAGTTTAGGTTGGGAAGCTCCTAAGCTTTTATAACGGGCTCGGCTCTAAGCAGCCACTGAGAGGAGCACAAACACGAATGATTGTCTCAAGGTAATCCGCATCACTGCATGCAGGCAAGACTCGTAGATGTGTGGCCGGAAGCTGGGCCCCGCTGAGTCGGACACTTATTCTCAATCTGAACATCAGTGTTTGCTTGCAATCCAACTCGCCCCCAAGGGATGCCCGTTCAAAGCTAGTGCTTACAAAATTTAACTCAAGCCATGCCGTTTCAGTTCCAATGTCTAGCTTTGAATTAATACTCTTCCGGCTGCACGCCCCTACGTTCTAAGCTCTTTCCGGTCTGCAGGAGCATGCGAGGATCCAATCCTCACTCAAACCCTCTCCGTACCTTGGCATTTTAAGCCCGTGTACTCAGACCACGTCCATTCGCACAAACAAGACTAAGCGTAGCTACCACTGACTCTTCTGCGCGCAAGCCTGGCTGTTGCGTCTATTTACGCTCTGCTCTGTCCTTGACTTACTGAGGACTCGAACGGCTGATCCATTCTTTGACTCGAAAATCTTCTAAAAGCCTACAATTTGATGGACGTACGTCATCAGTGCCAAGGTACCTTTCAGTACGCCCAGCCTCTGTCCAGGATGCAACGAAACAATGAAGGAATTCAAGTTCCTCAATCAGCAAATCTACCAAAATCAACCCTTTCAGGAGGGCGTTGCTGCTACCCAAAGCTTACATGGCTACCGCGGCGCCCCTGAACCTGCAATACCCGCTTTGACGTCGCCGCAAAATCCTAGCATGCGCAAACCGCGGCGACCATAATAGCTGCATACCAGCCTGGCGGTCGCCGAGTTCTGACAATTCTGGTGCGAAAAGTTGACTGCTTTTAGAGGCTGCTGTCCTAGAGTCGAGTAGTGCACACGAAAGTGTTGCCCCTGCCAGAGGGACGGCACTCTGCGCTCGCGTCGCGCAGCTGAAAGCGCTCCTCCATCAATCGGCGGCGGACGCTGAGAGTTCGAAAGGTCGCTTCTAGATTATCCAAGTCCGCTGGCACCTGCAACAGTCACGAGCGCGTCCTTTACCACGAAGTGAAAGCCCGCTAATCGGTCAAGTACTTTCGACGCCGCCTTGAATCAGAAACATCCGGTGATGACATTCGGTCGAGCCTGACGTTGAGAACAACCTGGAAACTGGGTTCTTGTGCAGCGAGCAGATCCCTGAACTTGTCCATGATGCCAGGCGGACAGAAGAAGTACAAATTATCGGACGGGACGACCAGTAACACAGCGGGTTCATCCAGACTTGGAGGCCGAAAGATGAGCGGCTCAGATTGCGTCACGTATTCTATTTTTATTGGAAAGAAGAGCTCAGAAAGTGTTCTGCGAAGGACGACAGTCCCCGGGCCACTTTTCAGAATAGATCACTCAAGTCTAAAGCGGACTGCTGCGCCATCGCAGATTGCTCGATTTACGCGAAACAAATCTGTCAAGATGCACAATTTTGTTTCCGTTTCTGGAGCAGATTGTGGGCGGAAGCGCAAAAGCCCACCTCGCCAAATCGGTTGAACGCGCAGTCAGCTGACGTCAAGCCGGACGTGGCGTAGTCGTCGTCAGAGCCCTCAACATACTCGCGGTGACGTAAAGCTTCGAGCGTGCCCATCGCCAGCCGCTCCTCCACCGCGTGAGGGGCGTACATCTGACCCAAAAACTGCGCGAAAACGCAAGGAGATGTTGCGGTTAGAAGACTTGGTTATGTTTGTTTAAGCTTTCTTCCACCCGCATCGGATAAAGTG